TAGATTTTGGTCTGAGCAAAAAGAACAAGTTGTCTGCAGACACCTAAATACATGCTTTCTTGGACGGGCAGATGCAGAAACATTGCATACATACATTATCAAAGCTATCGATGATGCCAACCTGTCACTACACAAACTTTTGATGATAGGATCAGATGGTCCTAATGTTAATCAAAAAGTGTTACGACTTTTTAAGGAAGATATACTGGGAATTCGCAAGAAAAGTAGTTTACAGAAACAGAAAAAAAGAGCAGAAGAGGAAGCACAGAAAAATTTTGAAGAACATCAAAAGAGAGCTATTCATGTCAAGGAAAAGATTATGGCACTGCAGCAGAGTTTAAAACAGAAAAAAGTAGAAGTGAAATACACGAGACAGGCCAGGTTTTGTTAGAAGCAGCAAACAAAAAACTGGAGAAGGCCATTAATAGCAAGAATATGAATGAAATACGGGCAGCACATGTCATGCTTGCTAGTGTTAAAAGTGTTCAAAAGCAAGAGGAAGCAAAAAAGAAGGAAGTTGAAAACATTCAGAAAAATCTTAATAAAAGAACATCATCTTTCTTGACTGATTATTTACAGAAGAAGCCAAAGACTTATTAAGTATTCATGGTTTACTGGAAATATTACAGTATATACAAAAAGTTTTAAAATGTATTTAACCATAACAATAAAAATAAAAAACTTTTACTGCTATTTTGCTGAGTTTTCTTTCCATGTTTTCACTTTGTTTTGTCACTACAGGTAGCTCTCAGTTTACACCGCAGTTCCATTCCTACAAAATCCGGCACAAATGAAATCAGCGTAAAATGAACCCATATTTACAGTGAGGTATAGTGTTAGGATCTACATAAGTGAAAAATAAGCAAATAATTTTGTTTATTAATACAATATAATGCAAAATACATATAAGTTTAATTTTTAAAACGTATTTTATCATAAAATAAAGTGAAATGTTTTTATTAAAAAATTTTAGTTTCGGATCTCGTACATTTTTTGGAAAGAAGTATTCATCTTTAATAACCTTTCCTACACTCGATGATTAAAAAATTAGCTCACAAGAATAATTTAAGAATAATTTATCATTGTAATCCTACGATTTATAGAATTCTACAAAATGATAAGAAGAAAGGAAACCGTAACAATAGTACAGGAGTGTATTCTATTCCTTTAAGTGACCACTGTTTTAATTCAGATCTCGTTTACGTTGGTGCCACTATGAGACTTTTAAAACAGAGGCTTAAAGACCATCTTTAATTGTTTACATTTTTGTTTTTTTTCATTGAGAATTTTGGAATATGGTCGAATATGATGCTCCTTTTTACATTTGCACTTCTCTCCCAATCATTGTGTAACTCACAAAGTTCATCCATCAAACTTTCCATAGTTGAAAGGATACATTAATCCGACGTAGAGCTACAGACAAGCGGATTGGTCTGTACTGGTTGCCGTAGCCCATATATAAGGTCAGTTTGAGCGGGAAAATTGAAGGTGGCTAAGAAGAGATAGATATCATCTGGCCGATGAGAAATAGGGTGCGACTATGCAGACGCGAATTTAGAGTGAGCGAGAGGATGCGAGCGATTTAGTTTTCACAAAGGAAAACCATGCACAAACGAGAAGCGAGAAATAACGCTGGCGAGAGCGAATTTCTGGTTCTCGCACATATCTGACGGATTTTGATATTTATCACATCTCGCCTCTTCTTGCCACATATTCTCATTCGCTTGGAAAATTCGCTCGCTTGCGTCTGCATAGTCACACCCGTAGATTTGTCTCACTAACGATAATTTGTGATCGCCAGAAGTGCTACCGCGTCGTAAAGTGTTTTCCTGAACAATCTGATACGGGATACATTCATTGGCACTATGGATTCGGACACCATTTATTGGACTATTAAGTTTAATAACTTGACGATTAACCTAATAATTATACCTAAATGTTTAGTATTTTAATATTAATTTAATGCAAATGTATACATACCCAATAATATTAAACAGAAAAAATAAATATATTCAATAAAAATCTTTGTTTTAACGAATATACAATGTCGTGGCTCGGTAAATACGTCAACACTGAAATGAAAATCAGTCTAGCATAGGGAAAATTGGGGAATTACACTGCGAAATGGCAAATTGCGCAGCGGCGTTATTGTGAATGGGCGTAAATTGAGCTGGCGTAAACCGAGGGCTACCTGTATTGCACTCACTTTTTACTCACTTTTTCTGTATTTCAACTCACTTTTCTCACTTTTTCAGAGGATAAATGGCACTCCCAGGCCTGCTAGCTGCTATTTTAAATTACCAAATGTTGACATGAATCTATAAATGTCATAAATTAATTACATTTTTATGACATACAGGTAACCCCCGTATAATATGGGAGTTACGTTCCAAAAAATTGCCGTGTTTTGCAAATCCATGTTATACGAAACAAAGAACTAGTGTAAAAAAGGGGGTTAGGTTCCAAAAATTAAAAAACATGCTGTTAAATCCTTATTTAAATCAGATTTATTATTCATTTTTTTCATAGGTAAAATACTTATTTATTATTTAAGTAAATATTTTATCAGAGGATTATTCATCCTATATGATGATCTCAGCATGAGCATCATCAACTGGTAACAGTTTTTGGGTGCATTCGTTAATAGCGGTCGCTCTGCAACAGGAGTGCACTGCTGTTTGTAGGCATTTAGGAACAACAGTGAAAGAAAGATGGCGGCGCCCGCACTATCGATAGTATCGTGATGAAGGAATCTATAATTCTAAAATGAGCTTTTAGAGGCAAAAGAAGGGTCCCAATTGTAAAATTGAACCATTAAATGGATTATTGTTGAAAGAGCACTCAAAGTAGCCATGAAAACAATTAGAATGCTCACTCAGAGTTACGCAGGAGTATAAAAGAAAGCACCCTTTATTACATTTCATGTCGTACAAAGGTTTTACCCAATTCCCGAACCATGTTAGAGTGAACCCATGCTATAAAAACACCGTGTTATACGGGGGATGTTCCCAATTCTCGAACCGTGTTAGAGTGAATCCATGCTATAGAAGTGCCGTGTTATACAGGGGTTACCTCTATTTTAATATTATGATGATTATGAAAATTAATTAACAGAAAGACAATACATAGATGAAAATGTTTAGGTTCAAAATAATTCATATATTTTTATAACAATTTAGTTTTGTTAAAGATTTTAACATGATAAGAAAATTAATTATTCATTATTTCAAAAAATCAGATAGTGCCCAAATGATGATAAATAAGTTTCCCAAGTTTTTACATTTTCTACAGAAATTTTAAAGTCAGTTTTTAATAGTAAGAATCAGATCCTAGGATAAACTACTTGTTTTGAAAATATTTTATTTGATAAAAACTTCTAAATTTAAGCAAGTAATTGAATTAATTCAAATACAGAAAAAAGTTTTACTATTATATGGATAATGGTGCTGAAATTTTATCTATCTTTTCTCTGTAAACCTTACAAGTAAGTTTGAGTATTTCATTACAGAACTTCTAACATCCAAAGATTTTCAATGACAATGACTTTATTCATTTAATTAATTGTTACAAATGCGTTTTAGAACAATGTATATCATCATTCCCTCTTCAGTGCTAATTCTAAATAAAGTTCAGTGCATATCATCATACACTATTCCTATTTCTAAACAGTAATGGTATCACTACTTACAGTTTAAAATAGTTCTGAGAATTTTTTAATTCAAATACATCCAGATTTCATAATTTAAAAACTTGTTAAAAGACTGCTATTGTTTTCGGCAAACTTATATTTGCCATCATCAGGCGAATAAAGATTTTTTAAAAGATCGAACAGAAATGTTATGAGAACAGATCACACATTATTCAAATTAAAATTTTTGATAAAACCGTTAAGAACAAGCCACTAATTTAAAATACCAAGCTGTTTTAGACTACTATTGTATCCATAATGTTAAATGACCACTGTGTAAAGCAATATTCATATGTAACTTAATACTTATTATGGTTTTAATGAACAAAAATTAAGTAAGGTTTATAGAGAAAAGAAAGAAGAAGTTTTAATTATATGAAATTTTATTATAATAATATAAATGAAATTTATGAATTTTGCTCTGTGACATTTTATAGCACATATAGCACAGATTCACATCACACAGCACTTTTTTGGAATGTATCTGCTGTGTTATATGAGGGGTAACACTACATAATAATATTTAACTTAAGAAAAAACTAAACACTCTCGAAAATTAAGATGATAACCTCCAAAAATGAAAATGAATTACAAACTTTATTGGTATTTTAAATTTGATATATGATTAGAATATTAATTTTTGTGTGTAAAAATTTAATTTATATTTATTTAATACAATTTCATATTTAATATAATTTGAATATTGACAATATGAATTAGTTTTTCTTGAAATGTTGTGACATCCATAATATGCTACTGGATCTAATATTGTATTTATTGCATAGCCATAGAATATACAAATGTGCATATTTGTCTAACTCTACAACATAATTTATTTTATTTTTTTGTGCATGAAAACCTAGAATTTTCATGATCTTTCAAAAATTTTGTAAAGATAAAACATAAAGGACAATATATTTTATCCTTATTTCATAGAAGAGATAATTCAATATATTTGTTTTGATCTATCTGTTAACTATTTTGTTATTCAAATGTATATTTCTTAATTGTGAAATTTTTCTGTCGTTATATAAAAATAGTAAATGATTATTGATATTAAATAACGTCTTAACTTTTTAATAAGATTGATAGTTGATAATTCATTGAAATTAATAAAATATTATTGCAACTTAGTAGAAATACAAAATATCTACAGTTTTTCTATGCATTTATTTAAGAATTTAATACATTGCATTTTAGAAATAATGACCTAAATATGAATTTATTAGAATATATATTTTGTAATTTATTATTTTATAATTCAAAAAGCAATGTAAATTTGTTAATACATTATTTAAATTGTATGTTACAGGTATAATTGCAGAAGGTAGAACAGTAAATATGTATCCTAGTCCAAGGCCTGAAATTTTATCATTATCACCTAACAAGAATTTAAAAATTTATGGAAGATTAATAGATGATGAAAAGTACTATTTAACAGCGGTAATGATATTGGAAAATGATCTTCACAGAAATTTATTAAATTAAACTCTATAATTAAATTTTCAGGTTTCAATTTTCCAATGAATTGATTTAAATTGATTATTTAAATCTCAAACAATTCATATATTATACAGAATATAGGAATAGGAATAACTTATTTGTGCTCCACTCAAAATTAAGGTTTCAATACATCAATTTAAATTATTTTTACAATAAAAATTTTTTTCTCAAGCATTCAAAGAAAGATTTTACAAAAATTGTTTTTTACTGCTTGAAATATCCAATGAATTGATTTTAAAAAAAAAAGAAAAAAACCTGATTTTAATTAAGATAAATTGGTATCAATTATTTCAACTCTACTTTTTAAACAGGTTTTTTCACATTCTTCCTGTGTTGGTTCCTTGCTTACAATTCTATGAATATTACTACTAATATTACAATATTAGAATTCTACATAGGCCATAGAAATATTAATAATGTGAATTTTGAAAATTTAAATTAAGATTATTTGTTTAAATTGATTATTTAAATCTCAAACAATTCATATATTATACAGAATATAAGAATAGGAATAACTTATTTGTGCTCCACTCACAAGTGTGCATAGTGAACAATTATAAAAAATAATAATATACAGGAAAAAAATATCTATGAGAAAACAGCTCATAGGCAATAATAGCATAGTAACTGAGCTGGAGTTAAATTAATAAAGAAGCATAAGCTTGTTTTTTCAGAGATTGAGATACTTGATGAAATGTAAGAATGAGTCCAAGAATAATTTCTGCAGTAATAGTTCATGAAGACAGATGAGATTGAAGGCAAATCATCTCTAGATTCAACTATAGACATTCATAAGAAAAAATTGGACAGTTGTAAAGTAAAGTGCATGCTTGACAGTTTTAATTTGTCTTGTGTCACATAAGCAAAAGATGTGTGTGCCATGTTTTAAAACACTAGGTATACGTTCAGAAGTTTCCATGGCTGGTCAAAGTTTGTGATGGAAAAGGAGAGAGTCTAAAGATGACTGTAGATATTTTCAAATAGGAAGGTCACTTGGTGCATTTTGGTCACTTTTATTTTTTAGATGTTGTCCAACAGAGATGCTTATGACAAATCCTAAAGCTATTCCGATATTTAGATCATATCACCAATGAAGAGGTCCTTTGAAGGAGTGAGATATGTAAACTTCATAACATTGTCGCCTGTAGAGGAGTCTGATTAGCTGGCCACATTTTTCGTATGGAGAATAATAGGATACCTAAGACAGCCATGTAACGGATTCCCCCTGCTGCCAAACGACCATGCAGACACCCCAGGAATACTTATGTAGAACTTTTCTCCAAGATTTGAAGATGCTCAATGTGACATGGGAGGAAGCTGAAGCCCTTTTTGAAGGATCAAAATTGATGGATGATAATTGCTGCTAAGTATGCTATTTAGCATTGGAGGAACTACTATTACTCTTTTTAGAAGTGAGGAGGAAATGGTCCCATTTGTCTAGAAGGTGGCGATTTATGTCATTTTTCATATAAGATTGTACTGTACATTGATGGGTAAGCAAAGGTCTGAGGCAGCCTGTTTGGCAGCAGTGTCTACTATTTCATTCTCCACAATCTCTCTGTCCTGGGTCATGAAAGAAATGTATATTATTAGGGATTGCACTCAGCATGATTTGCAGACTATGAATGAAAGTACTTTTTGTGTTGTCCTGATTTTGTTTTCTAGTCAGAGCCCATTCAACAGCTGTATATACAGCAGCAATTCCAGTCTGAAAAATATAGATTGTAGATTTAGATGAAACATCAAAGTGTGTTTTGGGATGAACTTTGAAAGGACATAAGAAGATGCAAATACTTATTCTGATGCCACCACTGATTTTGAACTATCAATATAGATGCTGATATTAGGATATGCTTGTGAGGTGGATCCTGATATCAGCATTCAGAGTCATAGAAAGAAAAGTAAGAAGAGCAAGGTTAGGGTCATTCATCATAAAAGATAGATATATAGGGGATACAAATTAAGTGCTGTACTCTACAAATTGTGCTCATGTTCTGGATTGATTGTATTACTCCTTATGTAATAATTCAGCACATTTTTTTAGATTATTAGTGAATAGTATTTCATAGATTAAAAACTGCATTTGATGAAAAAATAAATATGAATTTAGATTTTTCAAAAAATTACCTCTCNAAAATTTCAATTCATATTTATTTTTTATTTAAATATTATATTTGTTCATTTTACCTATGTTGTTAAATTATAAATTTTTATTATATGAATTCATATCAATAAAGAGAAATAAAGAAATTATTATTTTTCAAAATTAAAGAAAAATAAAGAATTAAATGCTTTATTACTATAGTATTAAATAGATGAATGGAATATTTTGAAAAAGAATGATTTGATTCATTCCACAAATATTTTTAATGCACATGTGAAGTTAGTCGATTTTCTATAAACAGCAGATTTATATTTATTATTAAAAATGATTTATTTTTATTAAATAAAAAATAATCATTAATGATAAAAATCTATAAATTTTAATTATGTGCTAAGACGTAAAATTTGATAATATATACAGTATTTGTGAGTTATATTTTATTGATCATTAAAATAAAAATTTTTGAAAATCAAAGATGATAGTTAATATTATGAATTTTATTATTATTAGTATTAATATTATTTAGTAATATGTGTTAAGTATTAGTAATAGTATGTATGAGTTAATATTACGAACTGTTTTTGTGCCTCTTGATTTTTAAAATTGATAGATTTAAACAATTGTAATAAATAAATAAAAACACTGCTTATTTCAGCAAGCCAACATGTTTTATTAAGCATTATTATTTTTTACATTGAAGTGAGATAGTCAAATCTATTCAGACACCTTAAGCAGAATTCCCTTTTTAATAACTGTTTTCATCCGTATGCAAAGTGCACATCTGTGGAAGCATAAACAGTGTGATTGTGCAGGGGGAATGGCAGGTTATCATGAATTAGGAGAATTTCAGTATGGTATGATAGAAGTGCTTGTGAAATAGATTATAGCTTTTCAGATATACAAAGTTTGGATTTTCAAGTTCAACCATTTCAAGGGTGTACTTTGAATACAAGAATTCTGGTAAAATATCAAACTTACAGAAATTCAAGACTAATAACGTCATTGTTTGATGCTAGAGCCTCTATTGACTTCAGTGTAAGAACTGTACAATATTTCCTGCATGATTTAGTCTTTAATTGCCAATTCCCAACCTGAGTGTCATTTTGCTTACCTTATGACAGAATTCTTCACCTCGTCTGGTCTCAAGACCACCACCACTGAAGACTGGAAACTAGTAGCTTGATCTGATAAGTCATGCTTCCAGCTAATTCAGATAGATGGAAGAGTTTGCATGTAGAGAAAACCCCATGAATCAAGGAATCCATCATATTAACAAGGGACTGTACAGGATTGTGGCAGTTTGGTAATGGTATGGGCTGAACTAGGACCCTCTTATATCCACAAAGGCCTTTGACTAGTGAACATTAGTTTCTTTTCAAATGTGTTGTGCTCATTCATGTCATGTGTTCACTCTGACAGTCTTGGTCTCTTCCAACAGGACACAGATCTGCAGTCACTAAATTATGGTTTTTAGAACATTCATTCAAGTTTGCAATTGTGAATTAGACTCCTTATTTGTCAGATATGAATCTGGTGAACAAGAAAGCATATCTGGGATGCCATATACAGCATCTTTTCATTCAGAGCAGATATCTACCACCTGTAACTATTATGGAATTGTGAATTGTTCTTCAGGAGGCATGGTGTTCATTGTCAAAAGACTACTACAGAAAGCTCATGGAGTCCATGCCCTGTCATATTTCTGCAGTTCTAAAATTTAGAGGTGGACCTACCAGATATTAAACAGATATTCCAGTTTTTTTAGCAATTTAGAGTATATTTTAATTGGATATTAAAATTCTGAAACATCAGTTATAATAATTGGTGTTCAGGATACATACAGAATTTCCTATATATTAAAAAATTTTACTATTAATATATTTATATTAGCAAATTTTCTTATTAAGTTATATTCATTATAGGAAGTAAAAACAACTAATAATTTGTACTGAGCTAAGCAAAATTATCATGTATTAATAATTAGAAAATTTAGATGAATTTTATGCACTTTAAAAATATTTCTTTAAAAAATCTGTTCAGTAAACTTTTACAAAAAGCTGTCAGACATGTTTGGTTATATTATTGAAAGTTAGAATGCTCTTCAGATATAAGTTTTTAAAATGATGTTAAAGTCATATACAATGTCATGACAAAAAATTTGGATCAAACTCATTTTAACTTTTGCATTATTCTCCTCTTTAATGTCACCCTCTAATGTTTTAAATCTCATTTAAGTAGACATAACATAATCATAAACTATCATTGAACACATTTATGATGTGACTGTTCACTAGTATTAATTCCTTTTGAAAATTGTTTATTGAAAATTCAAGGTTGTATCAGATTTCAATTGTGGTGATATTGTTGCACTGCAATAAATTAATATGACATTTAAAAATATTAGTTTGAGATTTGAAATTTATCAGATAAAGCAAAAGAATCTGGAACGAATGGCATCAACATGAAAAACCACCTGCAATTTACTCTAAATATGGCAAAAAAATATATTGGATGAGCATGATAGAACTTTAAAGCATGTTAAGTGAAACAAAACATTTGAAAGAATGAATTTGTGATACTCTTTAACCAGATGGGCTACAACATATCCATGAGAACTTTTCAACAGGAGTTATTGAATATGTATCTTCGTAGTTGTTTCCTTCATTACGAACCACTCATTTCACCTGAAAAAAGAAAAGAAAAGAAAAATACAGTTTACCAACAAACTCGGAGACTGTGCTGATTGGTAAGAGCATCTCTTTAGTGATTAAATCAATATTCACCAGATTTTGCTGTGGTAGTCACCAATATGTATGCAAAGAACTCTATGAAGCAC